AACTCCAAAACTAAAAGTCAGAGGAGTGAGCGAAAGTGGCTTTTGAAATATCTCATCACATCATAGCCTAGAAGTACACACTTCCTTGATTTCGCATCCAGTTTCTGACGCTCGTCCTTAGCTACATGAGCATACGCAGCACATCCGAAAACTCTAAGGTGTCCCACATTTGGTTTCTGCTCTGTCCAGGCTTCAAAAGGTGTCTTCCCTTCCACTGCAGTTGTCAGACTTCGATTTCGCAGGTACACGGCTGTTGACAGTGCTTCAGCCCAGAAACGATGTGGTAGCCTAGCATCACCCAGCATGGACTAGTGTTCTGTTCATCCTTTCAGCAACACAGTCAGCTCATGTCGAACTCCTTCTTCCTTTAAGCACTTTTCAAAATCTGCTGAGACATACTCGCCACAATTGTCGGTGTGCAGAGTTTTTAGCTTTCTGCCTGTTGACCTTTCCACTTGAGCTTTCCACTCCAGAAAACATCGGAAGACTTCATCCTTGGGTTTCAGGACATATATCCAGATGTAGCGGGTATTGTCATCAATAAATGTAAGAAAGTACTCTCCACCGCTCAGAGACTTTGCATTTATCTTACCACACACATCACTATGCACCAACCCCAGGGATTCACTTGATCGCTTGCCTCCCTCAACTGGGAACCTACGTCTGTAGTGTTTTCCTTCCACGCACGACTCGCAGAAAGAGGTTTCTCTTGATGCATTGAAATCAGTCATCAGCCGGTTTTTCCTTGGCCAACTATTGTAGGTTCCGTACTCCAAGGTGGCCATATCACCGATGCCAAGTATTTCCCTTTGTTTCTTTGCTCTTGTTAACAGCTGCATTGATTTGTTCATTATCAGCCTGACAGTTCAGGTGGTACAAGCTTCCCACCCTAGTAGCAACAGCTATCACCTTCTTGTTTGAGTCCAATATTTCACACCCAGTCTCAGTGAACTTAACTACCTTTCCAGCTTTTGCCGTCTTTGACACGCTCAGCAGGTTGTACGACAGATCAGGAATGACAGAACTTCATGCAGTTTACACCTGCTAGCTTTTCCACCTACTTCGGTCAACTCCAACACAACAGTGCCACGCCCTGTTGCTTCTAATGCATATCCATCACCCAGCATCACTTCCAGTGGCTGCTTCAGACTATGCAGCTCATCATACAGCTTATCGTCACAACACATGTGGCAAGTTGCTCCTGAGTCCACGATCCATTCATTCAGGGGGCCGGTGGAATTCGCCGACAATACGTGGTTAACCATCAAGCCAACACAATCACCATCTGAACTACTCCTATCTCTTCGCCTCACTTCAGCTTTATTCACCCTCAACTTGTTGCTCCTGGCCTTCTTTTCATTTGAGTCATTCTTCTTCTTGACCCGTTACAGTTCCGCCTGATGTGGCCAAATTTTCCACAGTGATGGCACTTGGGTCCCTTTCCTTTTGGTCTTTGCTTTCCAGTCATCGCTCCTTCTCTGCTTCTCTCAGGGCCTACTCGTTCCTTCAGTTTTCTTTCTTCATGCAGCAAACGCTCAGTAACAACTTCCATCCTAGGCACAGCCTCATTCGCTTCAAGGCAGTAACCAACACATTATATGATTCTGGTAAGCTGGCCAGTAAGTGCACAACACGGTCTTCATCAGAAATAGGATCCCCAATAACTGACAGCCCGTAAAAAATCTCGGTCATGGCTTTAATATGTTCCTGTACAGAATTTTAGCCTCAAAGAAAAACGTTTATGCCGCAGTTGCAACTTGTTGGCTCATGTTCTTTTCTGAAACTGACTTTCTAGCTTTTGCCATACCTCACTAGGGTCTTCAGGGTCGCCAATCAAGTACAGTAGAGACGGTTGAACAGTTAGTACGATCGTCGCCAACGCTTTGTCTTTCCTAGCAAGAAATGTTGGGAAGTTTTCATCTTTCACATCAGGAGACTGTTCCTTACGTTTTACTATTCCCCATAAGCCTTCTTTCAACAAAGCCATTCGTCACTGGACCTTCCATGTAGCATAGTTCAGTCCATTCAAAGGAACTACAGTCACGACTCTCGATTCTGACGCCGTCTTGAAATTAACTCCAGGCCAGGCAGCACAGCAAGGAAAAAATGGCAGGCTTTCCATGTACACAATCGATCAGTTCTCTGACTCTATTTCAGCTCGGCGACTACCTCAGTGGCAACGTTCTAGGCCCATAACCTGTTAAGATTCACCTTGAACGTCTGTGACAGCCATACGTTTTTTAAACGCAACTTGAACTTTAATTTCTACCAGAAACTTAAGAGAACTCCGTTACAGATTGATCCACGACAAAAGAGCGCACACTGGTATGTTGAAACTGCTTATATAACGCGAAGACAAAAACCTATTTATCCAGTTCTTATCTTGTTACGTAAAGTTCTAGAAAACATTACGTAATATTCTAATTGGGTCCTTGAAATAAACAAATAGTCATAACAAAGTACTCAGCGTAAACGCGTCTGTTCTATTGCGAGTGTTTCTTCCTCAACATTAAGCAGTTTTGTTTGCCTTTTCTGAGTTTCTAGTACCGTAGCTATATACATCTAGGTGCTGTTCAGATCCGGGAATGCTGGGTTTTGTAAATAATTATTAACTATACCTCGATGTAACGAACATCTGGGTTATTTTTTCGAAAATTCGTTAAATCGAGATGTTCGATACAACGAAACCTCGATATAACGAACAAATTTCCTCAGTCCCTTGGCACTTCGTTAAATCAAGGTTCCACTGTAGTAAGGTTATCACCTTTTTCGCATTCCGGTGTGTTCATTACTTTTGGCTCTTTCGTTCTTATCTGGACCATTACAGTTAAAAGCAACGTAAAGCTGAGTATCAGCATACAGACGATAATTGATATTATAGCTCTTAGTAACATCACATGAGGTATGATACCGGTCCCAAAACAGACCCTTGAGGTACACCAACTTAGAGGACGCGCCTGAATATGATTCATCGATTTTGACACACTGGGTACGGTTGCAAAGATAAGATACATCAACTGTATCGTTGTTGAAGCTTTGAGATGAACAAACTATGATTTACCGTGTCAAAAGCTACTGATAGATCCAACAAAATCAACAATACGTTCTTCCATTTGTTCAAAGCTAACAGGATATCATTATGAACTCCAAGTAATGAGGTGTCAGTGCCCTGAAAAACTTTGTATGCGGATTGCAAAGTCACATGAAGATCGTTGTTGGATAAAGTTTTATTATATTTTTTCAGCTTTATTGTTCTAAATCTATTTCTTAAGAGATGATACAAACGAAAAAGAAAAAAAAAGAGTGAGAAAGACCATGGATAATAGAAAGACCGGATAGGAAACTGGCTGACGCGATCGGTTCTAACATAGTGGAAAAATGTGACGTCACATTATCGAGAGCCATTCAACCTTTTACATCCGATGTTACCTATATGCGCGTCTTATTTTCCTCGCATATTTCACTATCTCTGTCTTCAACAATGAGGATTGCCCATGTTTTGAATTAAAGGATGAAGAGGACTTGCTCTTGGAGAAGACAGTTAGAGGGTACAATACCGGTAGAGGCAAAAAACAGCGTAAATGATTATGAAACTTGTGAGAGCGAAGAATGACTCCAGAGCCCGATAATTTTATGCATCAAACGGGAAGCCTAACTACAGGAAAATACACGAAACCCTACGTGTATACAGCTACAAAACACCTATAAAAAAGGCACAGCCTAATCTTTTTCAAACCACAATTATTTTTATCACGGGTTTGACGATTTCTTTTCTGCTTTTATCGACAAGCTCAGCGAGTGCCGAATTTGGTAAGTTAACAACTCTTGACAAAATGATTTTATTAGCGGTAAACTGTCGAGGCTTGATGTTTAATGTACCCAGCTCAAACGAACGCATGCCAGAGATGCGATCCGCTCAATATCAAGCGACAATCCCGCTAAAATTTTTCATAATTACACATAATTATGCGAATGTTTAGACAATCAACCAATCAAAATCACTACCCAGTTTTCGGGTAGTGAGTGACGTCACTGGACGGCATTAACGGCCGGTCGATTCAGACGTTACTGAGGGAGTAATAACGACTCGAAGTGATCGGATGAAATTCAGGCAAGTTTAATTCTCCATTCAAATTTATTTACGGACAACCAGTGACAAGAAGTCGTATTTGAGAAATGTATCAAGAAAAAGGAAATTTGCTTGCGGACCACCGTGGAAATGCGGTTTCTAACTTTTTCAAATCAATTTTCATAGCAAAGCAAGTTTTCTTTCTTATTTTCAGGTACCAATGTACCATTACCCAAGGTAATTTTCAGTCTGGTCTTTGAAAAAGCGAACTGCAACGCTCTTAAAAATGTTATGTAAAACGGTTAATTGTTAACTACTAGAATACAACTGGGAAGCAAACTCTCCTGGTTAATAGTAGAACCTTCACTTCTTTTTCATGAGGAGACAGTTGTCTTCCGTAAGGCTTAATAAAGCTTGGAAATATATTGTCTTTGAAATACTAACCTTTTTTTTTAGGATGAAACAACTTTTAAGTTTTTGTATTGTAGTTTTAGTTAATGGATAGGGAATACAGTAAATCACCTCTGAAATAAACATTAACACTGTTCCCAAAAATAAAAGCTGATTATTAAAAAAAAAAATCAGCAACATCCAGGGTTTTTGTTTAGCCTGAGGTAACTGGATAGGGGCTCGAAAAAATATGACTGTCTGGTCACATTATCATGTTGTTGAAAACAAAATTCATACCCCAAACAAGTACAGGTAGGTATTTTATTAATTTAATTTAGAATGCATCTTGGTAAGGTTTATCATCTACAGGTACATTTTTGCTTTGGATCTCTAAAAAACCGAATACAATAATAGTACTAATCAAGTCCAGCTTTGGTTTGAAAAACAATGTAATGCAGATTTCTCTCGCTTCAGGGAAGAACACTAACCAAGTCTAAGACACGGCTCTGTAGCTAATCCATGCAGTGACCCTCAAACACAGTTAATTTGTCCCAGTCAGAGAGAAGTAGCTAGTACACCTTAGAAGTGATGAATAAAGCTTAAAGCACCTTCTGATCGTAAATAAATTAGATGCCACCTTCAGGCTCTCATGCATGACAAAAGCAACTTTTTTGCTGTTTAATACAGAAAGATTGATTGATCTCTCAGAAGAGTACTTAACCACAATTTTACTGTCTTCATTGACTACTGTGTTCAGCAAATCCTACAAAAAAGACAAACAAAAGGAAAACTAAAACACTATTTCAAAAATAACAACACTTAAAAGCCTAAGCGAAGGGCAAAACATGTCAGTAGGTGTTTTCCCATTCATGCTGCAATTATTAGTTTATGTGAGGGAAAAGTACAAAAATTTTTCGAGTCTCTTCGGTGCCTTCTACTACTACAATCCTGGCCAAAAGGTTTTGGGACACCTCCCCTTTTTCACTTGGTTTTTGTATGGAATTTGCAGCTAACCTGCAATACACACTCATAAATACGGCCTTAACAAGATTTTGCCCCCACCCCCCTAAACAAAGTTGAGGTTCATAAAGTGTACAAGATATGTAAAAGGTGTTTGACTTGTAACACCCAACACTGTTCAGGGGGGAGGGGGGTCAACTAGAATTACATTTTCCTCACCTAAAACGCAAAGTGTCCCTAACGTTTTGACCAGGATTGTCCGCGCTACAAAGCTATCTTCTTACTAAAAGGAAAGTAAATATAGGGATATTTTCTTGAATACCAGATGGCATAAGAGCAAAACAGAGCAAAAACATCGAAAACCACTCAAACCTTGGAGATATATGTTCGTGTCTAGTAAAATGGTCATTGCGCCTGTTATTTAGTACACGGAATGACGACGAACTGCTACAACTAAGTAATGTGGTTGCTTTTAATCACAACGACGATTACAACAAGCAGATCGCAGTCAGGGAAAACGACATTGTCTATATTCCAGCACCCGTTACCTAGAAACTTTGGTAGCAAAAACATTGATTTCCAAAAGGACTTTTCATTCTTTAGGCGACATGAGTATAAGCAAAAGGCGGGGTCTGTGAGTCGATCAAGCTAAATGTCAGGTTAATATTTTACCTTATTGGCAATTCTTCCATTTCGGAAAATAAATACCACCGAAAATATCCGGTGAATTTGCCTCCCTGTCGAAGATTTTTTGCCAAACTTACTGTGGACAAGAAATAAGAACAGGAAACCTACCGCAGAATATTTGCTCAACTCATTGTAAATCACGCACGCAACGTGACATTCTTTGACAGTGCTCCATGGGAACTTGTCCTTTTTTTTAACTCTAAGGAACTTTTTGACTATCATTTAAGCACATAACTTTGACGAGAAAGCTATTTTCTTGTAATCTTTGAGGAAACCTTTATCTGACAAGGCGAGAAAGTTAGAAAATGCACAGTGCTCCACTCATCGTTTATTAAGAGTTTATTAAACGTTTTACTAACAGTTCAGTGGAGCACTGTTCAAAATCCAAATGGAAGATGTTTATTTCACAATACTTACCGCAGTTTCTATAGTATAAATTGTTGCTTTTCTTATGAGGAAACAAACATTCGATAGAAACCTACTTTGGAGAAAAGGAAAATAATTTACAAGTGGAGAACTGTGGTACGTGACTATGGAGCATCGCGTGCGCGGGAGCTCAGCAACTGAAAACATGAAAACAAGGTTTCACAATGGACTTTATTCGATGTAATTGCATCCCAAGACGTAACCTTCAGTAACAAGGTTTTTCAAAATTACAACCAATATTCGATTCATACATTTTTAGACGCAATGATTGAATTGATTGGCTCATGCCTCTTATTGTGCGATGTACAATGAGACGCCTGAGACCAGAATGTATTAAATCCAAAAAATATTTAGAATTCGTTAAAGGATATGGAGTTACATTTGAATACACAGGGCCTTGTCCTGTTATATCTTTTTAACAATATGAAAGAAGATGTTTCAACGAACTGTTTTGAAACAGTCTGTGAAGAGGAATTTAGTGCAGCTCAGGGCTAGGGCAGATGAATTAAATGCCGATGTAGCGGCTAAATTCAACTTGGGGTGGATCTTTATCCGTAAAAAAGACGGTGTTAATGTTCCAGATCTTACAAAACAACCTGGAAATTTCTCTGTCAAAAAAAGATGCGAAAAATGTATTGCTAGGAAAATCACACCTTTGCTTTAATCAAGAACTACAAAAACATACACTCTTTCCTCTCACTGGTTTGGATTGACTCTGCATGGACTCACGCTTTCGTTTCTTCTCGCCGCACTGATTTGTCGGTAGCTTTAGCTTAATGGCTAGATTTGTGGCTTCCTCTGATATTTTCCTTCTCGAGTTTGCCGTTTTCATTGAAAATCCCGATCTTCTACCAGTCTACCTACTTGAATCAGACTTAAAGCCCGCTGAACTATAGCCGAGATATAGCCGAGATGGTGTGCCCACCCGTCCTTTCTCGTATCATTTGGATGAAAAATTGGCCATGTGGTGGTTTATAATACCATTTATACCGTGAATACTCTGATTTTACATGTAATCTGTATTTTAAGTGAAAAAGGGCCACTTGGAATACTTTGTGGTAAAGTAAAAGTAGATTCACTACAGATGCAGATGCCGAAACCAAGAAAAAACCTCTAATCCATGCCAAAGTTAAGACTGTAGGCTGTGTGAGCCCCTGAACTTGTAAATATTCATCCAGACATGCTAAAATTCCAACACTTTTTTCATATTGTAGTATTGAAAATGCAAAATAATAACATTTGGAAGTGATTTCAAAATAGCAACGTTTCGGACAATCCTGGCCAAAAGGTTTTGGGACACCTCCCCTTTTTCACTTGGTTTTTGTATGGAATTCGCAGCTAACCTGCAATACACACTCATAAACACGGCCTTAACAAGATTTTTCCCCCACCCCCCTAAACAAAGTTGAGGTTCATAAAGTGTACAAGATATGTAAAAGGTGTTTGACTTGTAACACCCAACACTGTTCAGGGGGGGAGGGGGGTCAACTAGAATTACATTTTCCTCACCTAAAACGCAAAGTGTCCCTAACGTTTTGACCAGGATTGTAGCTGCGAGGAGCGACGTGAGGCGACTGTATTTATTGGATGAGCGAAATTAACATAATGCTTTACGAACAATTAGCAGGGTTAATCTAGGATATTACTTGAGCGAAACAGTTCTCAACACAAATTAGTCTGCCTATGGGAACTTTATGGCTGGAAATAACAGCACTCACTCTGTAACTATGCCTATGCCACAATTCCATCCTTAAAAGATCTGTCAATCGTAGTTATGAATAGAAACAAGAAGGAACCCTCTTAATAAAGACGTCCTAAAACAGTCGCCAAGTCTATTAAATATGGCTCTGGTAAGGTCAATTTTTGGGACGCAATTTTCTCAAAGACAAGGACAAATATCACAAAACAACAACAAAAAGTGCTTACCTCGAAGGTTCAAGTGTGGCTTTGAAGGGTCGCCATCGCCGTAAGACAACAAATGAAGGGAAAAACATACACCCAAAATTAAAATACCACTATAAAAACTTCGAAAAAGAGCCACACGCAGGCAAACAGACCCTAAATTTCGACTGGTTTGCGCCACATTTTCGCCATCGTTTCGTCACAAATTTCCACTATGATGGAACCATCCAACGCCATCTTGGAGCACAAACCAACCAATCGGCGAAAAGAAATCAGCTCACGTGACATAACTTTCCTATCCAGTTTTTTCTACTATCAATGAAAGACCAAAATATAAGGTGCAAACGGAACCGGAAGTTCCATGCAGGGCACCTGCCAAGTAAATAAAAAATCACCTTTAAGAAGAAAATCTTAAGCAATGCTTAAACGGTTGTTGCCAGTGGCAACCACAATTACAAGCTAAACCCCATGAAAAAGGTTTATCGGGGTCCCCCATAAACAAGGACTATCGGGGTCAAAAACATTTCCTTACTCGTTATTGAACAATTTAGTTATTCTGGGTTTTCTTGATGCTGAGAAAGTCACAGGGATTAAGTAATTTGCACATAAGGTTCCAGAATTTTTATAGTACGATTTAGGTCCGTAATTCGCTAAGTCCTCGAAATAAGCATTTTTTCCTTCTCCAACGGACGTAGGAGCATATAATTTCTAACTCTTCATACATCTTACCAATGCAAGTGATTGGTTAATAATCCCTTTCAAAACTGGCACCAGGGAAGTGTAACACTTCCGCATGAGCGACGCAGGCAACGGGTCAAGAACGCAATATTTCATTTTCTGCCTTTGATCAAATTCAACACTTGCGTATCGCCAAGAGGCTCGAATGTTGGCATACAAGTGCGGCATTCAACTGACAAATCAGCCGGTAAACTGTTGTCATCCCTACCAGACTCTATACGACGTCGGATGTGGTCTATCTTTGAAGGCGTTTTAAAGGCGTTTGACAAGTCTCGTGGCTATTTCAGATTTCCGTTGTAAAAGTCTATTAACCACTTTAAAAAGACCTGTAGGATCATGTGCATTCTCCTGAATTAGGGTAGAGTAATAAGTTTCTCTAAATCTACGAGTAGGCCACTTGCACTAAGAGGTCACGTGCCCAATGCTTCCTTTAAACAGTGAGTTGGAATCTTGCTGATGCCAAAAATTGACAGAGCACATAAAAATTGTCTTACACCCGACATTTGAGAGGAAACGCATTTAAGGGAGATATTTTATGGCACTTTGATTTTTCAACAAAGTAGTATGACCTGTATTGGCCGCCAAAACTATTTTTTGCTTATATCTTGTTAAACGTTTGATAGTTACACTCAGATGTGCTGTAAACGTTACCACATCATGTTCAGAAAAAGGTAATTCATAATTTTAAAATCACATTTTGGACACGTGACCAGCTACGAACGTACTCATTTTAAGAAAATGGTATTATTTTGTTTAAGATATGACCCACTAATCATTTTTCGAATGCAAAATCATGACTTTCATGTTTATAAAAACGATATCGCATGACCTCTTAGTGCGAATGGCCTATTAATGCGTTCAAGCCTTTCTCTAAGCCTCTTTCCAAGGGCAATGTCGCTATTATACCAAGGTGCATTTGGATGTAGCGAGACCATTCGAGTTCTTACTGGAGCCAGTTCATTCAAGATACCTTGCAAAACAGAATCATATTCATGAAAAACAGACCCGGAGTCCAGGGTCTCCTCTGAATCGTGAGGCATGATGATCATTTTGCACTTGAACATGAACTGAAATCTCCCACCTGAGGAAGCTAAGCAGGTGAAGAAAGTGCGTCCTCGAGAAAACGTGAAAATTCGTCGAGGACAAGACCAATTGTCAGTCAGGAGCCCATCAAATGGAGCCTCCATCTCCATTAATTTCTTGAGTCAACCCTTTCCCGAGTATAGATTTATAGATAGAACGGCTAGTTTCCCGCGAAAAGTGTCATATTTCCGTGAGTCTCGTGTGTCACCGTGAAAAAATAAAATTGGATGAAGTCGAACTCAGAAGCCCGTCCTTCGACCGTTTTCCTTTTTTCCTTTTCGTCCATTTTTACAATGTTACAGCCGCTGGGATCTGGGTATCATGAAATAAAAGTTAATGAATTACCCGACTGAGACTGAGCATGAAGCGATGGGACAAAGGCAGCGAACTGAGGATCACGGAAAGGTTATCTTTGCGAGTGTTTATATTGCTGTCATACATCCCACATTTAAGCATGCACCTTGAAAAGAGTCCACGATTAAGCGTTATGTGGACGATTTGGAACTTTTCGATGATCAGCGCCGAAAAAGTGCCAGGATCATTTGACTTTTGTCATCACCGTAGAGTGGATTTCGCCAGTTAAGAACCGCGTGCAAAAGCGATGACCTAAGTAGCAACTAACGAGGAATGCTTCAGTTCCGAAATTTGAGAAATTGCAGTCTTTCTTTACAACTGACTTGTATCACCATGAGAGTTGCCTGATAAATCTGGCACTTGAAAAGTTGAACAGATGACAACAGTTGCTCGACCGTGAATCTAACTCAAAAGTAGTTTGCTAACGGAGGAATTTGTGACATCGCTCTACAGTCCAAAGACCCACTTATCTCAAGAAAAACAAAATGGATTGTATTTGCGCCAAAAGAATTATAACTGACTAACGGGATAATTCTCAGCAGTTAATGTAGAAGTTTAGGCTCAATTCCTTCCTTCGAATTCGCATCTGTAGATCACTTTTTTGCGAGAAGACTGGCTGGACCCGGCGTTACAAAACATAGCAGGGAATCATCACACTAGCTGACGGACAAAACAACCACAAGGACTACAAGTATTTATTCAGATAAAGGCATTTCGGAAAAAAAAAACCTTGAAAAACTAGAAATTTTATTAATACTGAGTCATTTAGCCGAAATAAGAACCTTAACGCTCAAAACAATTGGCTAAAGAAAACGAATCCTGTCAGAACTACAGACCGCAGGCAGTAGTTAATCATTATGCATGTAACAGACCAGCTTCATGGCCTCTTAATATGAGACAAGCAACCAAAATTAAGATTAAAATAGTCAGAGTTTAAAATTCTCCACAGTATAATCTACCCGCTAGAAAGAAAAAATAAAGAAAATCTCTGAGGGATGAAAACGCTAAAGTCCCGTTTCACTAGCTTATGATTGTGTTTGGCTTGTCAACAACGAATTTCCTGCTGTTTGATGTGGTACAATAGCAGTGTCATTTCGTTGTTGTGATTGGCTCTTCTCACCGTCGGCGCGCGAAGTCTCCCCTGGGAACCGTTCTAATTATAAATCTACTCGGGAAAGGGTTGACTCCAAGGGCTTGTATGGGAGATGGAGGCTCCATTTGATGGGCTCCTGTGTCAGTTTACTCGCACTGAAGGGTGGTGGAGGGTACACAACAATAACTCTAACAGTCTTCAGATTGGAAAACTTTGGATATGATACAGGTCAAATTTGATTTCAGGTTAAAATTTCTTAACCTAGGTTGATTCTCAATTTCCTTTGTCTCCTAGCCCTAATTTTTTCATGAATTACGGCTAGGAGAAAACACAAAAGGGAGAAGTGATGACGTCACAAAAACTAATTTTGCGAAATCATTGATTTGGTTAGCATATCCAGAACATGAAATATGTGGACGTGCTTGAAATCAGCCTATTATTGTAAATTATTGGGGAGATATGAGCACCCTTATTCCTTGATGACTATAAAGAAATTTTCTAAAATTGGCCCAGATCGTAAACGCCATGATCCAAACCAATTCTATAAGGATTTGTATGGAATCATTTGTAAGGAATCATCGTTTTTACACAACCAGGCGGATTTTTGTCAAGGGGGCTTTTTTCACCCTGTTTTTCCTGAAGATGGGCGAATGATTTTCTAATGATTTATAGATATATTTGTTAATAATATGTAGATTTAGCCAGGGCTAAAAACGAAGCCTCCGTATATTTACTTGTAATTAAAGCAATTAACTGTAAACTAATAACCTCCAAGCCACAAGAAAGAAATCTTCAAATCCTTCCCTGACTTTAGGAGCTTTCCAATTACCTTTTGAGGGAGGTTCTGGGTGATTAAAAAATATATATAAAAAGCTTTCCCGATAAGCTAAAAGTCGCATGTGTATAGCAAAAAAAAAAAAGAAAGATTACATCAAGTTCGACCATAGCAGTAGAATTCTTCCAAACTACATCAACGAACTCCCCACCACACCCCTTAGCGAAGTTATTGGTTGCCGTAGCCCTTCGGTAGCAGCAATATACAGGTTACGATTTCTAGGTTCAATATTTGTCTTAATGGAAGGCCGAAAAGAAAAATCAGACCAACGTTTGTGTTCGCCGTAAGCATATAAAATATTTCCTTATCTGGCCCGGGCGAACAGTTATTCCTCACAATATCTGATAGAAAATTTTACACTAACTAAGGTACTGTTTGTTTTCTTTGTGGACAGTCCTAAGGCAGCAAATAACTCATTTAACTTTTTTCGCTACCAATAACTGTAATATACTTTAACCTACATAAACTTTGCGGTATGTGTTAAGGTGTAGTGCATTCACAGAGAAACCTGCGATCTTTGTACTCTACAAATTATAAACGTCACAAAAACTTAAACCTTCTTTAGGAGATTTCACGTCGTAGACGCAGTGGCGGATCCAGTCTTTGAGATAGAAGAGGGGTAGGTGCCCCGCAGGGTAACGAAGTATCTCAGAGCCTAGACCATCTTGGCCACGGTTTTTGTCTAAAAATGCGTGGTTGCCCCCAGGCCCCTTCCCTAAATCAAGTTGCTGCAAAGATATTTCGCATGAGGACGTGAAATTAGTTTCATTCTTCACTCGTCAATATTTGGTTACACTTACAAATTTAATTTTTTGGACGTCACAAAATGGCTTTTTGCTCAAACGAACAACTCTCATACGACTTTACGTTCATGATCATATCCCCTCTCCCGTCAAACAGGAAGATTAAAAAGGTTTGGGTCCAAAGATGTAGGTAATAAAACAAATAAAACAAACCTTGCCCGTAGAGAATCACAGAATATTGTTATTTATTTGTACCTTCAAAGAAAAGCACGCTTTGCCATTTTACAAGAACTTTTATTGCGTAGGAACATATTTTCTGGTGTGGGACCTTTACCAAGAAAAGGGAAAACGAGTGATTATGTCAAACGACCTTCTAACAGACATCTCGTGTAGATGAGTATAATCGCTGTCATTATGCTTAAAGGCTTTACTCTTTCAGCATTACACTTCATGGCATCTAAGTCGTCCCATGAACAAGAGATTGAGCCTGCAATTACATGCCCAGAGTCGCACTCTTCTGGACAGTCCTTGCCACCATATATCTCTGGCTGACGGCATGTAATTTGGCGTTTATAAGTCATCGACATGCAGTCACATAGTTTCGTGTTGATATAAGCTATAAAACAGTCAGCTAAAAGTGAATAAAGAACATCGTCAGTTGGTATAATAATAGACATTAGGAGCAATAGGCCAGCAACATAACTCGCCCAGCGGGCGCCAGTGTAGCATCTTTTTCTAGAATATGGTCAGGCATTTTTCCTATGGTTGGGGGACGTCACAAATGTTTCCGATCTCACTTTGTTGTCTTGAGGAGAAGAAAACCCAGATAAGGTTGAATAGATTGTTATTTTCCCTGGTTCAACCCTCGGACGCACACCCACCGTGGCACAAGGGGGGTGGGAGGGGATTGGAACCCCTCCGTCAAGTTTTTTTTCATTTTGCAGTACCTTGAAAAGATTTTTCCTTCAGTGGAAAGCCTTTGATCTTTTAGACAAAATCGGGTATAAAATATGACAATTGCCTATTCAGGGTTGTTATATCATGTTAGTTTACAATTTCAGGTAAACTTTCAATTATTTGGGTGGTACAAGAGAAGGTTTAACCAAGAAAATCTCTAGTATTCAGCTTTCAACGTAGGCGGCTAGGAGCCAGTTTTTTTTTATGTAAACCTTGCTTGCAGGTGTATTCAACCGTTAAAGTGCACTCTTTTTTATGCCGTTCCTGACTCAAAGTTTGGAAAAATTCTGTGCTCAGCCCAATGACTTGTCGCATTGACTGGCTCATGACCAATGTATTTTAAAACGCGACTAAACTTCTTTTAAGGCTAGGTCGCCGGTATTTTGCAATTGATTTTACGATGGAAGGGCCTTCGTAACACTCGCTCACAAGCTGGGCTGGGGGTATTACCCCCAGTTTACGAAGTAATGTGAAGCAGTTTCCTGAATAAAAACTGCAGGAATTCAACTACACCTTTTCATTATTTATTATTTGCTCATTGGCATTGTTGATATTTTTGTGGTATATTCTTGAGTAAACAATGGTAGGAAAGGTAAAAAGAGCTATTTAAGAATTTCTTGAAGGCCCAAATTTAAGAAGGTTCACATTTCAATAGAATGGTGTTGATAAGAAGGGAGGAAACGAAGAGAACGAAAAAACGGAAGAAATGGATTGAACATGACAGAACAACTCGTTTGTCTGACATACACCTGAACAGCAAAGGAGAACCCTTTTCATTACATTACACAAGCTTAGGTCTTTCCATAGACACAGGTAATTTTCTCCAAAGCTTTGTTTCTGGCGCTTTTTGATACTCCTAAATATATAACGCTTCAAATTCATTTTATCCTTACTGTTTCTCTTTAGGCAACTAGACTGTCTTCTATGGTAATAAAAACAAAGTTGTAAAATTTGTCTTCACTTCGTCAAGAGTAACAATTTACGGTCTTATGAATACATTTACCTGTCTTTCCAAGCTTCAGATAAACTTTGTCTGTCCGCAGTGAGCGCCCTCCACCAGCACGTAAAAAGTCGATGAAAACGTGGAGGTTATTGATGTCTCCTCCCTTAAACTGCAGCTTTAGCGAAACATACACACCTTCCCTGTTTTAAAAATAGCGTTAAAGTGACACTGAGGACTGTTACTTGACAGGATGGGGGAACCTTTTGTAGCCTTAACGAGAAACAAGGAATTAAAAACACGCTTACCTAAAACTAATGACAAAACTACCTTCATACGCAGACATATTTGAATGGAGCTCGTCTACCTAAAAAAGGAAAGATATTAATTGATTCTGGCCCCGGCTTACTAAAGAAAAAGACTTTCAGTCATATTTTTTTAGTTGAGTGGGACCCGTGCAGTTCTATAACGTTAATTCATGCAGTAATTCACGGATGCAGTAAAGTATGACAATGTTAATTCATGTCCTCATGAATCGGAAACTGGCTATAACTTTCCGTCCACATGTATCTTGATAAAAAGGGTCCCCGAAAAGTCTCAAAACAATTCCCCTTTTCCGGTCAGTACTCGTGTGGAGAGATGAAAACGGAAATGCAGCCTCCCCCAAAATTTTGGGCAACTCAGATTTTTTGGGCAGCAAGAGAAAATTTGGGCAAAGCCAGTTTTCAAAGACGTTTCCATGTTTTTTTTATTATTCTAAAGAGACAAATATTTTCTATTTTAAACTGAAAAAATCCTGAAGTCAGCGTAATAATCCAGTTACTTTCTCTCGAGACACTCACAGTGGTTTCCTAGCACGTGATGAGTTTCTGGTTATAGGGAGGGGTATCATTTGTTGATTTACATATTTATAGTTTTTTATTGTTGAGCACTGTGCTGCACTGCTCTGATTGGAATGGGCTCTTTCCAGTCGTGAATTGATTAGAATAAACTTCCGCATATCTTTCTAGAATCATCTCCGCTCGTAGAATAGTGTATGGCAGATAGCATCAGCAACAGTGGGTGTGAAAATGAAGAAGTGGCTGACTAGTACTCAGCTCGAATTACGAGAAGAATATTAAATTTGTTTAAAAATCTATCAAGCAATAATTTATTAAAGTAGACCGAAATGTTTACAAAACCGCTAACAAGAGCGCCTCGATACTAATGAAATCCTTGTCTCTAGCAATCGGCCGGAGCTATCTCGATGATCATATCTTTTACACACATTTTTCAAAAGATTGAAGCTACCATGAGGTGAAATTGCATGTCAAAAGAGCTTCGTTTTCTACAAATAACGGCCAAACATCAAGATTTTTTTTACCATATTTATAACGATAAAAACTTCATCCCAAAATATCCCAATAACACTCCTATAGATTCCTTTTTAACTTCACGAATATCGAGGCGACTATTGGAGAAAAAAGCTCCCGAGAACAATTTTGTCGGAACAGTTCCCAGTGCCGAGAAATATTGCTGCAAGTAAAATAGACAATGACGTCATTTCGTTGCTATGACAATTCCGACGTCATTAAAACCCTGCTCATGATAAATTTTCATCTTTATCTATGGTAAACTTTAAACTTTAAACTTTAAACTATGGTAGCAATTTTTCCAAATGTTTGTCTATGGCGACGTAGTTATTCTCAAAATTGGGAGGTATTGACCCTGAAAAACATAGCATCGAGCCACCTTCATATGCCAGTACGGCCTACATTATTGCATCGTATGGCCCTCGTTTCTTTTCTACTGTTTCGTAAAAATTTGGGCAACTTGCGAGAATTTTTTGGGCAAATGGTTTACCGCCCCCCCCTGGCAAAAAATTGCCCGTACGCCTATGCAGAATATTAAAAACAATAAAAGATTTGCTTGTGGTTGTCATCGTAGTGAGGGCCTACTAGAAAAAAAAGGCTAGAAATAAGACTTTTCCAAGACGTAGAACAAAGAATTACTGCAAGAAATGAGAAGAAGACAAGGACTGACAACACCAAGAAGATGAAAATAATACAGTAAAAGCCCGCGAGTAAGAACCTGAGAATTAAGAACCTGTTAGCTTAAAATTTGCCATTTATACCCCCTATAAAGAAGAACCTGTTTAGCCTAGAAAATGAAAAATCATATTAGTGAAATGAAGAGGCAAAGCTGTGCAAGAATCCTGTTTGGAGAATTAGGAGCTTGGCATTGCTGTGCAAATAAAAGTGCTAATTTATTGATGTAGTAAAAAATAAAGTGCAAGAGATTAATATTGTTGTATAGCATTTTGAAATTGAAAAATATGCTGATTACCATCTTGTTTTGTAGCTTGTTTTGTTTTTTTTTTTACTGAAATAAGAACCTACTTAAGAACCTAAATAGCCTAAAATTGTGTTAACTACCATTTAAGGTCTCGGTAAATGAAAATTTTAGTACATTGCTCGATTTTGGTTTTTTTGGATTTTTGGCATGAGTGGGTCCTAAATTTTATTTTGGCAGAAAAAGAAAATTAGAAAGTGCTTTTTAACCCTTCTAAAGTGAGCCTTTTCTGAGCTAACCAGCCAAGCGTGGACCTCGCGCTAAATCTTTAGAGCTGATTTTCTCTCACTCTATTTTAGACGCAAAAAGCAAACTTCTCCGACCTCCAGTCGGGACAGGTTTTAAGCTATCGCTTTGAAACTTTCAGATATGATGGATAATGATATAGACTCAAAAAAGGTGTGAGGAATTTTCCGATTTCCCTTTGTAACTCATTTTATGTCAGTTTCTTTGCGTAAATCGCGCTCAAGATTCGACTTTTTAGTTTGAAATGCAATAATTCCGCTAATACGAGACAAATGCAAATTTCCTCACACCCTTTTTTAGGTCTTTTATCTATCAATCAGACGCAATAAAAAGGAAGTGAATATTTAACAACGCGGAAGGGCTGGAGCTTCAGCAGTAAACTTGATACCTCTGAGTTCGAGAGCAAAAAACTTAAGCGCCTTTTGAAATTCGATGAAATAAAGTCTTTTATAAGGTAATTTAGTCTTTTAGCTTTAATTTGATATATAACTTGCCTTTGTAGAGAAAATACTCGCGCGAGTAGAATTTTTTGCTGTGGGCACCTCGTTTTCCTTTACCGAGACCTTTAAATAAGAACCTCTTTAGGCTAACTCCAGAAAATGTAGGTTCTTACTCGTGGGTTTTTACTGCACCCATTTTGACAGGGAAAATTTTCGCCACTTACTATTTCAACAATCATATTAGCGGTCTTGATATATGTATCATGATATTCTTTGGTTAAATCATCATTCCATCTTGAAGCTTCCGTTTTGAATTCCACAAAGAATGTATCTGTGAAGAGAACAAATAAAATATTCAGTTATGGGCTCTAAAGACTGGTTCACACTTGCGGCATAACGGCATAAGAAGGTGGTTATGTCGTTGTGTTTGTGGTGTGAACATGTTCACATAACGACTTGGAAATAACGGTATAACGAAAGAACTGATCTTTGTCATTCTGTCGTTATGTTTTTGTTATGTTTTTCTATCTGCCCTACGCTTCCTTCATTTTGGAGAGGTAAAGGACCACAGGCTTCGTTTATCCTCGCCAACACTAAAGATCTTCCCTCTTCAATACTATTCGCCCCGTTTACAAACACAGTTTCCCATCAGAACATGGAACAAACTCTAACAGACACTTATACCTCCTGATTAGATAGATTTCAGTGTTTTGAACAATAAGTGAGTGTTGTATATACTTTGACCTGACACACCCCTCAATCTTTTGGTCGCTGGGCATGAAGTGGATTGAAAGTTAAACAAATTAAAACTAAGAATGTGCCAGCTTCTTATTTTTTATGCCAAACACAGCATTGAAAATAAAGATTTCTCCTTATTTCCTAAGGACTTAAATACAATTTCGGAAAATTATAAAAGGTAGAAAAGTTACAGGATGCAATCAAGCAGCAATTTTTTCGCGCTAATTTCAATTTTGCATTTGTTGTGGCTTTTGGTAATGAGCATGTGATACGCGTAAGGTTAGCAATAATCCCATCTCATCATTCTTCTTTACAAAATTATTCAATTACAATGGTCTATTATGTCATCAATTATCATTTTCTCTGGTATTGCTTTCAAATTCATTTTATTAATGCGTGTTTTTCAAATATTGATCTACAATTTAAAGAATGTGAACATTACTGTGAAACTCACACAACCGTGAACACCAGAAATATTTATGGAATGTTATTGTGTTGCGAGAAATAAAGCAATAAGGCGCGAGATAACTTAGTTTGTGTTTTCGAGGTTTGCTCGCGTGTCCTGAACTTTATTGCGATTTGCCAGTACACAATCAACATTCCTGAAATTTTAAGGCGTTCACGGTTTTCTGAGTTTGACAGTAACTATGTAGTCTACGGAAAAAAAACTTACTGTTTTCTGTCTTGGTACTTCCCGTTATCTGGCTGATGATAGAGGCACCTGAATTAAGAACAGTCTCACTAGACCAGCTTGCATTCGCTGAAGAGCTCATTATCCCAGTGGAAGTTGAAACTGATCATGAAAGAAGACAATTATTGGCTTCACACTAGATCTTCAGGTATAAGGTAAGTGTACTTGGAACCTACTTTGAGTGTGAAGGGGTAAAATGTACCTACATCAACTTTACTTGGTGACCATGGAGACGTTCGTAGTTCAAAGAAGCCGAAGTTCGCCTCCAAGTATGGGCTACGCAACACTTGTGAACACACTTTGCTAATAAGAAATGGAAGCCTTGTGCACGATGTGCACGTGCAGCGGTCCCAAGATTCTAATGAACGGAGAGATTGACAACTTTTACTTCAAGTAATCTACTCAACAATTGTCAACAAGTGTGAAGCCATGTTTCCAACAGAGAGACTTAAGATTTCAAAGTGCGCTGGAATCAAGTGCTTACTTGGAACTAACTTCGCTTCTAGTGTAAAGCCAACAAATATATCTAGTTTATGCTTGGCTTTGTATTTGTGATACATACTGACGGCAGTGGACACTGCCGAGTACTGACCTGTTTGCACAGTTTTGTTTGCCATTAAAATTGAATCGTTGCTGGTCGTAGACATGTTGGGCAGCAAAATCGAATGAGAGGGAGATGGAAATAACGAAACATTTTGTTGCTCTATCGAGCTGGTTACGAGCAACATTAACGCCAAACCTGTCAATGCCGCCTATACGAAGACAAAGACGTGTAAGTGACTTATTTAGTCGTCAATATTGATAAAAAATCTTCCTTTATAATTTAAACTTCCCAAACAACTATTCTACAAAGTTTTGTACATTATTGTTGTAAGCTTAACAAATTATTGCACAACGTTTTGAACTGTTAAGCATTATTATGACACCAGATTATAGCGTCCAATGCTAATCGTAAGAGTTTTGTCGGCAGAGGCAGATCCAAAAATGAAGATTTAGATATTGTAAAATTGGTATGAGTCAATTAATCTCTGATTCTGCTTGGTTTAAACACAATCACGTAAAGTTCAGTTTAGTTTCTTTTAGTTACTTATCGCCGACAATATTCTGCACACATTGAAATACTCTAACATTTTTCATTATTTTTCAAAAAAAGGACATCTATCTTTCCTAGATAATTACTATGATCGTCAATTGCACAGAACTTGTTGGTTCTCAATCGTATCTTACTTGGGAAGTACTCTGACCCATTTTCGTGCTTCTTTGAAGATCTTGAAGATGACTTGCTCGACAGCAAACACCGGTAGTTATTTAATATTTCAAACTTTCTCTACGTTAAAAAACAAGTTATAAGTTTAGTTTCTAAGTAACCAAAACTGCAACTTATAAACAATTAATTTCCAAATTTGCATTTGACCGCAAGTACGAAAAACAGCTGCTTTTCAACCACCTAAATATTTGTGTTTTTTGCCTATCCAAACAAGTACCAATACAGTAATGGGCTCCGTACAATTTTTTTTGCATTATGCAATTGATCATATGCAATGTGATTGTCCAGTGGTAATAATATCAGGTTCGGTCAGGAGCGGCACAGTTACCTGTCCGCACGGTACGTAAGTGCGTACCTGAAAACTCTAGTTTAAAAAAATAATATGAAATAATAATAGTGAAAAACAAGGGTACAAAAATTATAAGCAAGTAAATTAATGATTCTTTGGCTTAATCATTGATAACCGATTGATGTGCTTCACTGATGCAATGAGCCCAAAAAGGAGACAAAGAATTTTACAACTTTAGTTATTTCACAGTCAGAAAAAACGAATTACGTCGTAACCTACTCCTTTAAATTAATAAATCGTTATGTTAACGTTATATAAACGTTCATACGCACCCATAATTTATGAAAATAAATAGGGCAAATTTTTGGAGAACGACACACAACGTACATTGTGTTTTCAACAAAAAGTACAGGGTGTTGAAGTTGATATTTATAGACTAATTTGTGGAATTCTCTTTTACAATTAAATGTCGCAGAATGCTGATGCAATAGGCTCTTTGCATGACTTCATCACGTGATCAACTTTCGATAAACACGAAAACAGTTCATTTTGGAATTTTTTTGTTAGCACAAGCTGAAAGAGAATATTAAAATTGGGTAACCTTATTACGTAACCGAATTTTCCGCCATATATCTCAAAAGTAGCGATGGCAACGGCCGCCGAAAGTTAGAAGCATTTGTATGAGAAAAACAACTTTTACCACCCAGTCACGCTTGCATGGTTTTCCATACAAGTCCTTGTAAATTCTAAAATTTTTAAACCGTCGGTAACTCTTTCCCTTACGCATTTAAGGGCTCAAATTGCCTGTTATGAATTAAATGAAGACTTGAGCTCCGTAATGCTTAAGGAAATATTTCAGGACAGTTTTGAAAATTTCGAAATTTACAAGGATATGTATGGAAGACCTTGCAAGCGTGACTGGATGGCAAAAGTTGTTTTTCTCATACAAATGTTTCTAACTCTCGGCGGCCGTTGCAATCTCTACTTTTGAGATATACGCTTAAAAATTCTCAAGCTGCCTAATTTTAATATGCTCTTTCTTTCTTTCCCCCGTTGCTATAACGTCTTTAAAGTCGCACCTATTGTAGCTTATAGGCGTAGTAGTAACCTCAGTGATTTTCTAGTCAAGGCCAAACTTCGCAATCCCACACAACACAACCAGCCCCGGGGCTCATACCCATGCGGAAAAAACTATCTCACTTGTAAATACATATTTGAGGGACAAACTTCATACGCATTCCACTCTACAGGCGAAACCACGTAACGTCACGTGACCCCTGTCGTGTTGTTCTGTTAGTCTGAACAATGTGCTTGTTGACTCGTTGTGTTCCGTGAGAGTATTTAAGCTGTTTAGTTGCTCGATACACTACATTTTTGGCGACGAGGAACGTGTACGGACGCCCACTGCAAGGTAGACAAAGGAAGGGAAGTGTACGTGAATCATGACCACGTTTGGAAAGTTGGACGAGTACAACGAAACTGAAGATTGGCGCCATTACATCGAGCGTGTAAATCATCTCTTCGAAGCGAATGAAATCACAGATTCTGACAAGAAGAGATCCATTTTTCTGGTTTGTGTGGGAGCGAAAACCTATAAACTGGTGCGAAGTTTGGTTGCCACAGAAGATCCAAAGGACAAAAGCTATGAGTATTTAGCAAAACTCCTCCAAGACCATTTCATGCCTAAACCTTCGGCTATTGTTCAGCGATTCAAGTTTAACACACGCTCCCAACAACCAGGTGAGACCATTGCAGTGGTTTTAGCTGAATTAAGAAACCTGTCTAAACACTGTGCATTAGGATACAGCGCCGATTATTAGCTGAACCCAAATTAACATGGAACCGGGCACTTGATCTAGCTCTCGCCATTGAAGCAGCGGATAAGGATGCTTCAGGGATACAAAAGGCAGACGGTCAGGGAGGGAATGCCTCTCTCAACAAAGTAGATGTCAAAGTTAATAAGGGGAGCGAAGTTAAGTGCCCTCGTTGTGGCGGCAACCACTACCCCAAAAGCTGTCATTTTAAAGATGCCAAATGCTATTTTTGTGGTAAAGTTGGCCATTTAGCTCGATTGTGCCGAGCTAAAAAGAAAGGGAAACAACCACAGTCAGTTAATGAGCAGAAATAGGGCAACTCCGAGCCTGCCAATCTTCTTGAAGGTGCCATGCAAACACCAAGAGAGGAACGGCGTGTGGGTGCATATTCCTTGTTTAACATTGGCAGTCAACGCCCATCACCCTACAAAGTACAGCTAAGTGTTGCTGGGCAACCCCTTGAAATGGAAGCTGACACAGGGGCCTCCTTGTCTATGATTAGCGAGGAAGTATACAACTACCTTTTTTTCAGCAGGTCAAGCACCCTAACTTGTAGAGTCAGGAATTGTCCTTCGCACATATACCGGAGAAGAGGTCAAACCTAAGGGGTCTTGTTCTGTGAATGTGTGTTATGACGGGGTTGAATACTCCGTGCCGCTTTTGGTTGTAGGCAGCAAGGGGCCTACTTTGCTAAGTAGGAACTGGCTCGAGAAAATCAAGCTGGATCACTCACCGTTTCTGGGAAACCAGTCTAGATAGCCTCAGAAAAAATCGTCTCGATAAAATGGCTACTCGATCTGCCAAGAAGACGTGACTCGTTTAAAAAACGAGCCTCCTTCTTGAAACGAGGCTCGTTCAAAAAACGAGTCCTTCGGAAAACGAGACTCGTTTAAACGAGACTCGTTCTGCACATGAGACTCGTGGAAAAACGAGACTCGTTTGGAAAGACTCGTTTAACGAGACTCCTCCGGAAAGACTCGTTTAACAGAACTACTCGTTCGGAAAGCGAGACTCGTTAGGAAAACGTGACTCGTTCGTGAAACCAGACTCGTTGCACCAGACTCGTTCGTGAAAGATTCGTTCGTGAAGGGAGGCTAGTTAATCAATTAATTAATTTATCCCTTTTATTTCACTGTAAATGGTAAAGTAATGTAATTATCAAGAAAATTATTCGCAGTCCTGCGTTGACCAGAAACTCCGGCTTTGAATAGTCTTAACCTTGAAAAACTCAGATTAAGGACCATCAACTTCATATATTGTTGTTGCTGTATTTGTTGATGTCAATGTAGGCAGGGGGCAATGAATTCTTCTTTCATTTAGTGTGGAATGATTTATTTCAAATGTTTTCTTTTTTTCAGTATCTAACTAACAAATTGATAGGCCAAATATTACTAACGTAAATAATAAAGAGTATTGATGTAATTATTCTCGAGTTGTACCTTTTGTGTACTTAAAAATCAGTTTAATTTCTATTACCACTATCTGTTTCATGCTCGGAAATTTTTTTTTTATCAACAATAACCAACAAATAGGTTGCCCATAAGGTATAATAAAGTGCTTCTACCATTCCATCATTCTATCTAAAATATACAACACGATCTATAATTGATGAAGAACACGATGTCAATGATTAGAATAAATGCAAAAATTGCCAATCGAAATATTGAGTCTGAAAATAACACAAACGTCTAAAAGGTAGATAGCGCCGCTGAAAACAACATTATTCACGACTAGAAATGATACTATCTATTAACAATGATTTGTCCCACCATTTGCGCTCGACGGTATATATTTTGTCTATTCAAAAAATGCAGGGTTAAGTTTTTTTTTTTAAATTATTCACAATACACTACAATCTGCGACAAAATTCGTTGAGCCGCTTTTTTCTGCCGCACTTAAAAATGAACTTAAAAATCTACCACACCTCGAAACACAATACCACTATAACCCTATACCCTTTCCCGCATTCAGATTCATTTATCAGGGGGGGTGGTCAAAGTAAGGGAATCCAGGCTAAAACTATTCAGAAATGTTGTACTCTTAATGACAATGCTTTGGCTACTGTGTCGCAGAGTGTAGGCCGATCTTTAGTTCACACAATATTCCGTTCTACGTTATCCTCGGGAAAATTCACTCGTTATTCTATTTTAAAACATATATTATAAATGATTAAAAACTTTATTTCAATCTCCCCCTCCACATCGACCCAACGGTTTACTTGTGAAAGGTTACACCCCCACATCGATCCCTCTCTCATTCTTGTGGGTGGTAGCTTTTTGATGGTTTCGTTTTCCTTTCCTGGAGAAATCACGAGTCACGTCTTCGTGGCAGATCGAGTAACCATTTTATCGAGACGAATTTTTTCGAGGCTATCTAAACTGGTTTCCCAGAAACGGTGAGTGATCCATCAAGCTGAATTGGCCCATAATCAAACAACGTTCGTCACACAATAAGTGACTGGAAGAGATTTTGCAAAAACTTGCTCAGCTGTTAGAGGAGGGGCTTGAAACTCTACAAGGGACAAAAGCCAAAATCCATGTTGAACCCACGGCTACCCCAATCTTCCATGAAGCCAGACCAGTACCGTATGCTCTGAGGGAGGAAATTGAACTAGACGTAGAAAGAATTGAGAGGGCAGGGACCATTGAACCAGTCCAGTATTCCGAGTGGGCCACCCCGATTGTCCCTGTCATGAAGAGTGATGACACTGTAAGAGTCTGTGGAGACTATAAGCTCACTGTTAATAAAGTGTCAAAACTGGATGGCTATCCTACCACCAAGCTTGAAGATCTGTGTACGAAATTAGTTGGAGGTCAAACATTTACTGAGCTAGATTTAAGCCACGCCTATGAACAGATGCTTGTGGATAAGAACTGTAAGGAATTCTTAACGATTAACACACATAAGGGCAGGCTGCACAGGTATAACCGTCTCCCTTACGGGGTAGCCTCAGCACCTGGTATTTTCCAGAGAACCATGGAGGGTTTGCTTCAAGGAATCCCTTCATCGGGAGTTCTGTTAGATCACATCCTTATTACAGGCCCCAGTACTGAAGAGCACTTAGACAACATCGAGAAAGTTTTGAGACGCTATTCGGAAGCTGGCCTACGACTCAAGGCAGTAAAGTGTTAGTTCATGAAGCCAGATTTGGCACCGAGCTGATGCAGGGGGGTTTCATCCTGTTAAAGAAAAAGTGAAGGCCATTCAGGAGGCCCCAGCACCGAAAAACCCCACTGAGCTGAAGTCGTTCCTTGGTATGCTTAACTTCTATGGGAAGTTCATACCTAACCTGTAGTCCATCCTGGAACCACTACATAGTTTGCTGAGGAAAGATGTTGTTTGGAAGTGGGAGGTGGAACAGCAAGAAGCATTTGATAAAGCCGAAAACCAACTTCAATCATCAGACGTACTAGTACATTGATCCCGAGAAAGAGCTGTGGTGCATCACCCTACGGTGTTGGCGCAGTTCTATCCCATGTTATGCAAGATAGATCAGAAAGACCTGTGGCATACGCCTCGCGTACACTCTCAACGGCAGAAAGGAACTACGGTCACCTGGATAACGTTGAAAGTTCAAATAACTCCCGTTTCTGAGAAGAAACACAGAGCTTTATTTGCTTTTGTCAACTCACGGTGAATGAGACGGTTTTTTTTGTCGCTTCGTGCAAATGCTGTCAACAGCGGCTACGATCGAGGTGAGCGTTGTTTATCTGCAGTACAGTGTTCCTTGCCATGTTAACTTGCTGGCAGGTACAGTTTTTAAAACTATTTGCTTTCCTCTTTTTTCTCCATAAATTAACTTCTATTTCCAGGCAAAATTGGTCTTGCGAGGAAATCCCGAGTTCAGAAAACAGTGACAAAGCGGCCTCCTTTTCCTCTGTGATGGTCAACAAAAACATTGCTTCGAGCGTATGAAAGCCAACTACAGTAAATCACTTCGCAATAAAATCACTCTGTTTAAACACCATGAAGTCTTTTCTTACCTTCAAAATCATCAGCTCTGGGATATTCTTGTATTTTAAAAAAGTTCTTACTCTGAAACTTGGCAAAACAGCCAGTTCACGACCGCGATTTTGTTTTGCTTTATATTCACCGCCTAGCGCGGTGAATATAACGTTATAGTCCGAGATAGCGAACCGATCAGATTGCTTGAATCACCAAGATCACTGAGTGTGTATATACTAATTGCAGATATTTCAAAGTTTATATTGGGCGAACAGTGAGATCAGAAATGTAAGGTTTGTTTACAAATTTTGTTTGGAGATTGGAGACTGGTTTATTAGCATGGGTACGTAAAAAAACCTCCGAAGAAAAACTCGTAGGTATCAAAATGTTTGTTTCAAAGCAGGACAGGGTTGTAAATCTTATTCTTATCAACTGCAACACATATCTGGGGAATAGTACAGAACAAATATGAAGTACGGAATATTTAAAATCGAACTACCCGTCCGATTCTGGTTTGGCTAAAGGCACACGTTTAATTCACCATAACCAGTTACTGATGAACAAATTTGGAAGAATTTTGTGTTTAACGAGGAAATGACGTCAAAAATGCATCGTTTTCGCAGGTTAAGGCACCGTTAACCGAGAAGACCTGGGGACGAGGTTGAGTTGTTTTGATTATGAACTTAAAAAAATGGCGGACATTTCACTCGTTTCAAGAGTAAGAACTAGGCGAGAAAATAGCTAAAAACATGACAAGAACAGCAAGAAGACAACTCGAAGGACGACATCTGCTGATTTGGACAATATTTGCGGAGCTGGACAAACCTAAACGTGCACTATCGAAGATGAACTTAACATCGATGGATCGATGGAGGTAAGCATGTTTTAGCCATGTTTTTAAACTAGGAATAATTTTGAATGAATAATAAAACAATTATTGAATTCGGCTTTCGTATGATATGAAGAAGTATGGAGATCTCGGAGGGTGTTATCCGCACCCTCCTCGAGCTCCATAATTCTTCATAAGATACTCAGCGTCATTCATTAATTGTTAATTAACTCTGCCAAAGGGCTATTCTGAAGTTAATTTACAAATGCTAAAAAAGAAAGGGGTAAGAAGAAAAAGCTTAAATTGATTACAATCTTTGGTACTAGACTAAAAGCCCCAACTATGCGCGTACAATTACGTTATCTCGTTGGAGATCTAAACTAAATCAAATATTAACTATTTAACGTATGGGGTCTGCTTCGCAGACCCGGCGTACAAGTGAAGGAGGGAGATATATCGACCTCTCACCCATTGCCAACTTTTAAAGAAGATGCACCACCAAAGATAATAGTCAAGTTCACGGGAAGGGATATGAGGAATAGCTTCTATACGAACCGAAGGAAGCTTATTGACAAGGAAGCTATTGACCTCCCCGATCTTGGTATCACTGCCGAAAGCAAAGTATACATATCCGAATCCCTGACCAGGTACAAGAAAGAGCTGTTCGGCGAAGTTAACAAGCTGAGGAAAAAGATCAGATGGAAACATATCTGGACTCAGAACAGCCGAATCTATGTTAAAGAATCAGATAAGTCGACCGTAGTGGTAATTGATTCACACGAAGCCCTCGATAAATTTAAAATATTTGATGACGCTTGTAAACAAAAAGGGTTTTCGATATTCCATTGTAATATTCGTAGTTTGGAAAAAAAACAAATCCTAGCTGCATGATATTTTAAGCACAGTTATGACAACGCCAGATATCATTGCAATATCAGAGATGTTTCTCCTTAGGTTCCTAAATTTTCTCAGTCCTCTTCCTAAAAAAGTCCAGAGTTCCCATTGAAAAAATCCCGTAAAAAAAAGACAAAACATCCACACAAGATTTTTTTTTCTATGGCGTAAGCGCTCCTCCCCTAAATCCGGGGACTTTTATTTGAAACTGTCAATCAATCTTCCCGTGCGTAACGTAATTTCCGGTAAAATGCACTTCCGGTTCGCTCTTACAAACAATTCTTTTAGAAAAAAGGCACAAGAAATAATCCTTAACATTTTCCCCCTCCTGGATTTACATTTGACTGAAAATCCAACTCTTCAATCGATCTCTTTTACAAACATAACACAAATTGTTCAAGTGTTCCAATAACTGTTCAAATGTCAAATGTTAAAATGTTCAATCTGTCAGATTTAGACTTAAAATTCTCTGACTAAACAAATCATGAACTGTTCAACTGTTCCTACAAGTGTTCATGATGCAAATCTTTACGACCATAGCTAGTTTGTTCACTGTTCCGTCCGGTCACTTAGTAATCTTCAAATTCTGACGGTGAAATTCTGGAAATTGGTCTTCGTTTCACCGCTCCTTTGGTTCTAACGTTTACGACTCGTACTAGTCCATCTTTACCAGGATGCACTGCCTCTATTCGTCCAAGCTTCCAATCCCGTCTTGGTGCGTCTGGATCAATTACCAACACCACGTCCCCCACTGTTAGATTCTTTGAAGGTTGGAACCACTTTGCCGGGATCCAATACTTGGCAAATACTCTCTCATCCAACGACTCCATACTCTACGAATCAGTTCCTGTATTCGTCTCCATCGTCTACACACGCTGACTGCCGTCGTATCGACTGTGTCTGGAGCTAGCTCTCCACCCATTTGGCCAATTGGGGTCAGCACAGGCTCGTCATTGACATCTCCACAAACTGTAGTTAAAGGCCTCGAATTTAACAAACTTTCGGCTCCAGTAAACACGGTTTGTAATTCTTCATCATTGACATCAGCTCCGTTCAAAATTGCATAAATTGCCCTCTTGGCTGACTTGATCATTCCTTCGAAGACACCGCCAAAGTGTGGCGCTTCCGGTGGGTTAAACTGCCACTCAATTCCTTGGTTGGAAGTAAGCCTTTGAATTTCGACTTGGTCCGTGCTATCCACTAACTCCTTGATTTCTCGTGCTGTTCCAACGTAATTACTTCCATTGTCACTGAGCATCAACTTAGGCCACCCTCGTCTAGCCACCATACGCGTCAGCGCATTTAAGAAAGCATCCGTCTCCAGGGAAGCAGCCATTTCTAAATGACAACAGTGTGTCTCTAAACACACAAATAAGTAAAGGTAGCGCTTCACTCGTGGTCTACCTCGTCCTTGCAACGTGTAGAATGGTCCTGCAAAATCTGTCGCACAATTTGCAAATGGTTTCTGAGTCATCTCTAGTCGAATTCTAGGTAATGGTGCCATTTGTTGTCTTGCTGGACAGCCCCTGAATTTTCGGTTACATTCCGCACATTCCTTGATACATTTCTTCTCTTGTTGTCGTCCTTGAATCACAAAGTACTTCTCTCGTAAATGGTTTAATGTAAAGTTCACTCCCATCTCGTGACCTTCTCTCTCATGGTGATACTTCACGATTAACTTGGTAACGATGAGATTCTTTGGAAGGATGATTGAAAACTTCGTCTCTTCCTTCGATTCATCTGAATATCGCAATCGCGTGTTTGATCGAAGGAGTCCCCCACAGAACTTTGGTGTAATCTTTAGTAACGTACTCTTACTAGGGAGAGGCTTGTTGTTTTCAAGTGCTCTTATCTCGTCAGGAAAGCTCTTTTGCTGAGCCGCCCTGATGATTTGCTCTTCTGCTTGATTAAGTTTTTTTGGGTTCAACTCCCCACTTTCTCGATCGTTTTGAGGCTTTTTGACATTTGCTAAGAATCGGTTAATCCAACCAGTCACCCGCACCAAAGACATTCCGATCTCCAGCTTTCCTTTTGGCTTGGTTCTGTACCATTTTGAATACTCCATTGGGTCTGGTGTGCTCTTTGGTTTGACTGTTTCCACGTAATAGCTCTGTGCATTCATGCTTAGCTCCTTTTCCACGAGCTGTTCTCTTTTCTCTGGTTTAACTTCTTTGTAAGCTTCTGGGGCTTTTCCAGATTTCCTCTCTGCCCACTCATCTTCTCTACGTTTTAGAAACGGGGGTCCATACCACCAGCAGTCATCCTTAACTAACTCTTGAGCTGAAGCTCCTCGAGTCTCTTGATCCGCATGGTTGAGTTTCGTAGGAACGTACCGACATTGGTCTGGACTGCTCTCCTCATGAATTTCCCCAACCCGGTGGGATACAAAAGGTTTAATATATAGATTTAGCCAGGGCTAAAAGCGAAGCTCCTATTAACTCGAATTTATAATTTAAATCAAACAATAAACTTGCAATTGTATTTTACAAATCAGTTAACTTTAGAGCACATTCATGTGACTTTTGAGGGAAAGGCTAAGTGATTTTAGAGAAAAATAATTTGCAAACAGTCCAAGCTAAGAGTGAACTTAATCTTACATCGAGTTGACAGCCTTATATGTACACCCAAAACATAGCAATCATCGTCGATCACATTCAAGAGCCATATTAAATGGCTCTTGATCACAGTAGATTAGGCCTGGAATTCAAATTCTCGGAAAACAAATCAGGCCCAATTTTTTGCGTTCGACAAGTTTACAATTTATTTTACAAAATCTTGCTAACAAGTCTGGGGACGTGTAAACCAACCTTTTATACTTTTTATACATCATCTGAGGTGAAACAGTACCATGGGGCACTGTTTTTATCATACAGATTTCGGACAGATCACAATTTTGCAATACAAATTGTACTCATTCAACATTCAGGTCAATCGAAGCACGCGTGGGCTTTTACCGAAACCGTTAAAAAAATTTCTTAAATCACCTATACGGCTTGCCGGTTCTCACTTTTGACAAGTGCCAAAGTCGACTGTTTAAATCAAGATTAATAGAGTTATACGCTTTAACATGATAAAAAATTTATTATGTTTATTTCTTTATTTAACGGTTTTATAATTATGTATAGAGGATATTACACGGTGGCGCGAAGATATGAATTTTATTTTTACGAACGAGCGGTAATCTTCAAAAGCGTTTGATACACGCGGCGACTACTCCTGCAAGCGATGTTCGTGAGCGACTGAAAACAAACGGCACAGCGATTAAAATTGCAAAAGAGACTACTAACAATCAATAAAAGGATAACAATTCGGTGAAACATATACAGAGACAACAATTTTCATTCACGAAGACAAGTAAAAAGTGTCTCTGAAAATCCTTGTTTATGTTTTAAGCCGGCTTTTCGGCGTTTGCTTTTTTCAAAGATGAACTCCAGGCAAGAAAATCGCTCAAAACTTTCTTTTACAGCCAGAATTATAACTAAATATTCTTTGGAACGTTTTCTTTCTATTTGCAGTGAGAAAATGTCTAAAGGCTTTTTAAAGTTCTATAAGCTTATAATCAAACCTGATACTCGGTCATCATTGTCTCAAATCTTACAAACGTACATAAACTAAATAGGCGCATAAACTACGCTCGACTTCATTAATTTAGATATAAAAAACAGACATCAAATACAATAATTACTCAGGCTTACCATTCGAGATGCTCTGAAAACTATCAAGTAAGTCCAGAATCGCTTCAGACTTTTCAACCCCCTTACGCATCAAGCAAGGTGAAAAACGAAAACGATGCCATCCGAAATCGGATTTCCGACTTTGAGAAGCGACGTATTTCTCAACCAAAAACCCAATAAAAAAACTAGCTATGAATAACAGAAGACTCTTGATAGCAGCAGCATTTCATTTTGTACATTCAGCGGAGAAAGACAGTTAAAAACATCACAAGTTGACACAAAACTCTGTCAGCTTCAGCTGTCAAAGTAAACAAGTTTGAAGATGCTGCATAAATTTTCCGCATGAATTCCCCTGTCAAATTTTGACCAATCAGAGCATAAAGATTGGACGTAGAGCGTGACCAACGCGTGACCTTGTTGAGAAAAGTCAAAAGCAACTGGCATGTCTTCCCTGCCTGTAAAAACTGGCTGAATTTTAGCTTCCGAGGTCAGTTTTAAACCAAAATTTTAATTGTGCCACACATATAACATATTTAACATATTTCATATGAATTAGAAAAAATTAAACTTGAGCCTGCGATCATTTGAAAACTAGTAACTTGTCAGCGGATAACTTTAAAAAGATACTCGACCTCGATGGGTCTACACCTGAGCCCGCGATACGGTCAGGTGATACTGGTCAGCGGATACCCTGTTTTGACGGCTGTCAATTGATTCCAACATTGATGTACAATATGTGTGCAATATCAGTCTTCCTGTGCTACCAAAATAGCTAGAAAGTGTGAGATTGAACATTGGTTTTCCTGTGGTACGGACGGACGAGCGGGCTGCGGGCGGTGTACGGTCACGTGTTTACGAAATTTTCTCGGATGGGTAGATTCACTTACCCATGGTGCTCCGCAGGCGCGCTTCGCGCGCCAGAGCTCTGCTAAAATTTCGACTCTGTCCTTGGACCCAAAACCCGACATTTACGCTGTCCCCCCAAAATGTGGCCTTGTTCCTAGGAAGCTCTAGTGCTGCACATATCTTCAATGTCAGTCGGAGACCAGTCAGTGCTCCCATGAGTTCTAACCGCGGAATACTCATGGCCTTCAATGGCGCCAACCTTGACTTTGCTGCGACTAATCTTGTGCTAACTGTTTCATCTTCATACTCATGGCGAACGTACGTTGCTGCGGCATAAGCCTTCTCAGACGCGTCACTGAACGTGTGAATAGTAACATCTCGGGGGTT